GAGCTCCACCTGGGAGGGGGCTCATCTTGCACCAGGGTCACCAGCGGGAGGATGAGCAGGAGGAGGCAGCGGGCAGGAGTTGGGATGGAGAGGGAGGATATATGAGGTGGATGATGATGATAATGATAATGATGATGATGAGGAGGAGGAGGAGGATGATAATGATGATAAAGATGATGATGATGCTGATGATGATGATGATGATGAACATGATAGTGATGATGATGATGATGATGATGATGATGAGGCTGCTCATGATGATTATGCTGACTAGAATATGATGATGGTGATGAGGAGGAGGATAATGCTGATGATGCTGATGATGATTATGGATGATTGATATTCTGATGATGATGGTGATGGTGATGATGATCAGGATGATAATGATGGTGATGACGATGACGACGATGATGATTATGGTGATGGTGATGATGCTGATGGTGATGCTGCTGATGATGATGAGGATGATGATGAGGATCGCGGTGGTGGTGATGATGCTGATAATGTTGTTGATGATGAGGATGATGATGCTGCTGATGATGATGCTGATGATGCTGATGATTACGATGCTGATACTGCTGCTGATGAAGATTATGATGATGAGGATGACACTGATGTTGCTGCTGCTAATGATGCTGATGATGATGTTGCTAATGCCGATGTTGATACTGATGCTGACAACGACGACGACGATGTTGATGCTGATGATAATGATGACGATGAGGAGGAGGATAATGCTGATGATCCTGATGAAGATGTTGATTATGATGATGAGTGATGACGATGATGGTGATGACGACGATTTGATTGATGATGATGTTTATGATGCTGCTGATGATGACGATGCTGATGCTGCTGATGATGATGATCATGATGATTCCGATGCTGATGCTGCTAATGATGATGATGCTGATGATGGTGATGCTGATGATGATGAGGATGATGATGCTGATGATGATGATGATGATGATGATGATGATCCTGCTGCTGATGATCATACTGATGATGATGGTGATGATGATGCCGATGCTGATGCTGATGCCGGCGACCACGACGATGATGATGTTGCTCCTAATGATTGTGATGATGCTGCTGATGATGATGAGGCTGAGGCTGCTCATGATGATGATAACTAACATGATGATGGTGATGATGCCGATGATGATGCTGATAATGATGATCATTATTATGATTATGATTGTGATGGTCATGGTGATGATGATCAGGATGATAATGAGGGTGATGACGACGATGATGATGATGATGATGATGATGATGATGATGATGACGATGCTGATGCTGATGCTGATGATGATGGTGATGATGATGATGATGTTTATTATTCTGATTCATATAATTGTTATCATTGTTAGTCTGCTTAGTGTGATGATGTTGTTGGTGGTGATGATGATGCTGATGCTGATGTTGATGACGATGCTGCTGCTGATGATGATGATGCTGATGATGCATGATGATGATGTTGCTGCTGCTGCTGATGATTATGGTGGAGGTGGTGGTGGTGGTGATGATGATGAGGATGATGCCGATGACGAGATGATGATGCCGAACATGATGATGATGACGACGATTATGATGATGATGCTGATGCTGATGATTACGGTGGTGATGATGATGACGAGGAGACAAATGATCATGATGCTATGGACGATGAGGATAATCATGATGATGATGGTGATGATGATGATGGTGATGAAGATGCTGCTGCTGATGATGATGATGCTGTTGATGATGACGAGTATGATGATGATGATGACGATGATGATGATGATGATGATGATGATGATGATGATGATGATGATGATGATGATGATGATGATGATGATGATGATGATGATGATGATGATGATGATGATGATGATGATGATGATGATGATGATGATGATGATGATGCTGATGATGATGATGATGATGATGATGATGATGATGATGATGATGATGATGATGAGGAGGAGGAGGAGGAGGAGGAGGAGGAGGAGGAGGAGGAGGAGGAGGAGGAGGAGGAGGAGGAGGAGGAGAGGAGCAGGAGGAGGAGGAGGAGGGAGGAGAGGGATGGTGGAGGGAAGGAGGAGGAGCAGAAGGATGAGGAGGTGGGAGGAGGATGAGGAGGAGAAGGAGGAGGGAGGCCGGCCGGGGCTGGGACTGCCGACTTGGACGGCCTGGTTGCGGGACGCCGGGGTAGAGCCGCCACGTGCGTCACGGCCGCGCTGGGAGGAGGAGGAGGGAGGATGGAAAAGGAAGGAGGGAAAGAGAGGAGGAGGAGGAGGAGGAGGAGGAGGTAGGAGGAGGAGGAGGAGGAGGAGGAGGAGGAGGAGGAGGAGGAGGAGAGGAGGAGGAGGAGGAGGAGAGGAGGATGGAGGAGGAGGAGGAGGAGGAGGAGGAGGAGGAGGAGGAGGGAGAGGAGGAGGAGGAGGAGGAGGAGGAGGAGGAGGAGGAGGTGGAGGAGGAGGTGGAGGAGGAGGAGGGAGGAGGAGGAGGAGGAGGCAGGAGGAGGAGGAGGAGGAGGAGGAGGAGGAGGAGGAGGAGGAGGAGGAGGAGGAGGCGGAGGAGGAGGAGGAGGAGGAGGAGGAGGAGGAGGAGGAGGACGAGGAAGAGGAGAGGAGGAGGAAGGGGAGGAGGAGGAGGAGGAGGATGTGGAGAGGAGGAGAGGAGGAGGAGGAGGAGGAGGAGGAGGAGGAGAGGGAAGAGGAGGAGGAGGAGGAAGGAGGAGGAGGAGGAGGGAGGAGGAGGAGGAAGGAGGAGGGAGGAGAGGAGGAGGAGGAGGAGGAGGAGGAGGAGGAGGAGGGGAGGAGGAGGAGGAGGGAGGAGGAGGAGGAGGAGAGGAGGAGGCGGAGGGGGAGGAGGGGAGGAGGAGGAGAGGGAGGAGGAGGAGGAGGAGTGGAGGAGGTGGGAGGAGGAGGGTGAGGTGGGAGGAGGGTGTGGAGGAGGAGGAGGAGGAGGAGGATGAGGAGGAGGGAGGAGGAGGAGGTGCAGGAAACTGGAGGAGATTGAGGAGGAAGAAGAGGAGGAAGAAGAGGAGGATGAGGGTGAGAAGGAGGAGTAGAAGGATGAGGGTTAGGAGGAGGAGGAGGAGGAGGAGGGCGAGGAGGAGGAGGAGGAGGAGGAGGAGGGAGGATCAGGGAGGAGAGAGGATGGAGAAGGCAGGAGGGAGGATGGAGAAGGGGATGCTGCTGCTGATGATGATGGTGATGATGACTCTGGTGGTGATCATTGTGATGGTGGTGGGGATGACGATGATGGTGTAATGGCGTTCGGAGCCCCGCCTGGACGTCCGTAACATGTTACACCCATCGTCTGGATTCCTTGAGAGGCTCTCATGGGGCCGACCTGGGCTAGCTTGGACTTCCGTGGGGTCGTCTTGGAGCCCTCTAGGGTCTTCTTGGGGCCTTCTTGGGGCTCTCTTGGGCTGTCTTGGGGCCTTCTCGGGGCGCTCACAGGCCGTCTGGGCGGTCTCTTGGGAACCTCGTGGGGGTAGCTTTGGGCCTCTTTGGCTTCTCCGACGTCCTCTTGGGACCATCTTCAGCCAAGGGGCGCAGGACACCCCAAATCTGCAAGCACTAGGATTCACTGTTTTCGAATGGTTCTGGCCTTCCGAGGAGCCTCTTGGGCCTTCTTGGGGCTCTCTAAGGGTGTCTTGGGGTCTTCGTGGAGCGCTCACAGGCATACGGGGTTCTCTCACTTTAAGGGTAGCTCTTTGGGAGATGTTATAGATAATCGGGAGTATAGCCTGCGCGTCGCTGCCATTTTGGCTCAAGGCGCGCGCGCCCTATTTGTCAGGATACCAGATTTGGTATTCGCTATGTGCTGGAAAGATCATTACATCGATCTTAGCCTATCTTACTCATTCACACCCCATATCGTATTCCTTCGACATGGAATTGGATGCAATATGACCTACCAGAGTCATTTCAGACTTGGTAGCGGAGCTGGCCGCACTCTCGTGTGGTCAGCTCTTGCTCTTCTTATCCTCGCGCTACCCGGCACGATCCTCGTGACCAATCTCTACCCTGCACCACCACTCCACCGACATTTACGAGGAACAATTCAAGAACATGAATCAACACGAGAGGTACGACGTCTAGACAACAACATTGGTACCATATACGCTTCATCACTACGCTACTACCAATCGCTCGGCAACGAGCCAAAAGCGCAGTACTTGAAGCGTAGGCGGGGAGACCCGCAAGATAAAGCGCCTCGTAGACTTGACAAGGCGCTACAAGCCCTGGCCCAGCGCGGCAACGCGCTCGATAACCACCCATACCTCCACAGCTTAGGGTTGGTTATCTTCGCCATTATATGGTTTGCGCTGGGAGCGGCAATCGGACACATGCGCCGAGGAGATAATAGCACCGATGGGCAAACACATGGCCCATGCTGGGACCCCCAAGGCAACGTACCCTTTCGCGAGTACGTCTACGAGGTCAACGCGTGGCTTAACGTCACGAGTGGACGCATGACGCCACAAGCCTAAGCAGCCGCCATACAACGCGGCCTGGGCGGCCTAGCGAGGACACTCGCCATGAGGGTGCCACCTGACATGATAAACTATGGTGCGGACATCGACGGTGTCCACACCGACCCAGTAACATGCATTATGTTCCTCCTAAGCATGAAGTTCGAACGCCTGGAAGATGAGCGCCAGCTCACCTCAGGCACTCAGCCCATCGACTTTCATGTGCCTCACGGAGAACGAACCGACGTAACCCTTACTCGGTTCGAACTGGCCCGTCTTGAGGCACAATCGGTGGGCTTTGACCTTCCCAGCCTCCAACTGCTCACGACTATCCTATTCCGCGCCCTAGGCGTTGGCAGCCAGCGAGCCATGCAACTCTCACAACCACTCAACCACCAAATGCCCCGAACACAACAACAGTATGAATAACTGTGTGAGAGGATGCTCTCGGTAGGCCATCTGTCAGAACGGTCTCCTGGTAACATAGGATCAGTGTTTGGAGAGGGGAAGGGGAACTGGCATTGGA